TTTTGTATTTATATTTCTCCGTTCCTTTCTTCTTTCTACCTTGTTGCATGACATTGCTGTTCACTTCGGCTGTATTGATTGCCGAGGTCGTCAGTTGTTGCAGACTTCGCGTGCAAACCCGAAGAACGTTACATTTTAAAAGCAATAAACGAGACTCACAGATTTCCATTAACCTCCCCGTCATCTTCTCTCTGTCTGTGTGTGTGTGTGTCTGTTTGTCTGTCCATCTGCGTGTTTGTTTGTTTGTTTGTGTGTGAATGTCTATGTCTCTCTGTTTATCTCTCTTTCCTTTCTCTTTCTTTCTCTCTCTCTCTCTCTCTCTCTCTCTCTCTCTCTCTCTCTCTCTCTCTCTCTCTCTCTCTCTCTCTCTCTCTCTCTCTCTCTCTCTCCTTCGCATAGTACGAAATTCCTGGAGGCTCTCCCCCAGAGCAGCTCGGGAATGCCGGGAGGGCGTGCAAGGCAACAGCCGCGACAGAAATGGGCGTCAGACGAGCGCCTCCGAGCCAAAGGAAGGGCTAAGAACCTCTTTTTTGGAGAGAGCCAGTAACCATGTACCCTTATGGACGTCCATTTTATTCGGCCTCTGCGGGGCCACTTGGCTCCTCTAGCGCAGCGGCAGCTGACGAAACGCACCCCTGGCGTGGCGGCTGCGGTGGTATTCGTGGAGGTTTCGAAGAGGGAGTTCCAAGAAAATATAAAGTTTTAAATGCCCGGGTGACCAGACCTCCTGATCCACCTGGTGTAGCCTCCAACGTCCTTGCCCTGCCACGCGCCCTCTTGCATATCATCATCTCGCGTCCTTGCGACCTCCGCTCGATCTAGTAGGAAAGATAAGTGGCAGAGAATCAAGTTCGTATTTGTTTGAAATGTCAGAGGTGTTTAGAGGATGCGATAAGAGGAAAAAGGCGAGAGGATGAGGGGAGACGTGGCACCACCGCCGTGCTCTGAGGTCATGGTCACGGAACCTCGAGTGTAAAAAGTGCTGCGAGGCGTCCCAAGTCTCTTAAAACTTACTCCCTCCTCGTGCTGGCCGCACGCCGTCGCTCTCCCGCCACGCTGTTCTGCCTTTCGACAACGGTCCCTCGTGACAAAAACTATCCGAAGCCTTTTCGAGGATCGGGATGCTTCATTAGCTAAAGAAAAATAAAAGAGAAATGAATTACTCCGAAATAGTGTTGGAACCTTGTTGACGGAGCGGAGTGTTGTGTCGTCGGCCAGTCAGTGTTGCTCCAAGCGCCGTCCAGGGAGGAGGTTCTCGACGCTCGCTCCCTCTCGACCCTTAAGCATGGCCTCCCCCTACCTCTCGAAGTGAGAAAAAAATATTTAAAAAAAGAGAGGAAAGCGAGAGAGAGAGAAGAGAAAGAAAAGAACGAGGGGGATGCTTGAGAATATGAGCGTGAGAGGCGTTTAAAGACATTATTATTAGTGGTGAGAAGATGTAAAGCACTTGTTGATTTTTATTGTTTAAGAAAAAAAACAACAACAGCAAAAGACTTTTTTTTATAGATGATTTTTCGTCTTTTATTCTTCAAGACTGTTGTTCCTGCCAGCGAGAAACAGCGTAAGTTTTTTTTCTTTTTTTATTTTTTCAAGTCTTGTTCAGGATAATTTTTTTTTTTTCAAAGATAAAATTTTTTTTGTTGTTTATCCATTAATTATTATTTTTTTTAATCGTCACATTTATCGTTATTTCCTCTTTTCTTCCCTTTCCACCTGTTCTTCATTTCATTGTAATTCTTCTCTGTTTCTTTTTTTTTGTTTCTATGTCTTTTTTGGTTTCTTTTTTTGTATTGTCATTTTGTATTTTTATTTTGTATTTTGTATTTTTGTATTTTATTTGTATTGTTTTGTTTACTCTTTGGTAAAAATCTTCTTGTTTATGTCCTTAGGAATTCATCAAGCAAATCCTTTTTAAGATTCAGATTTTTAGTGGTTTTGTTTGTTTGCGTTTGTAATTCTTTGCTTTGTTTATTTGTTTGTTTGTTCATTTGTTTGTTTCGAGGCACGTGTGTCTTGACGGCGGGGGGGTGGAACGAATGCCGTGGGAATTATTGTCCTAGGCTAAGACTGGCGGACCGTGTGCTGTCGCTGGCTGTCGTTTTCGTCGGGGTTGTTGGGTCGACGTGTCTTTGTCTTGCACGAATGGCTTTGGGCCTGGGAAGCATTAGTCCGAGGGTCTGGCTCTGGGGGTGCTGTCCGTCGCGGTGGGTATGCTATGGGTGTGTGCCGGGCGGGGGGGAGGCTCGCCGACTGCCGGGCTGGTTTTGGGGCCCATCGACGGTGGGTTTTGTCATGCGCGCCGAGGTCAGTTTTGTTTTCTGATTGCGCTGGAAGGAGGAAATATGCTGTGTTAAATTTCAAGGGTTTCAAGTTTGTTTTGGTCTGTGGCTGCAAAACTCTAGGGAAGTAAAACAACTCTTTGGAGGCGGTGTTGTCTATACACAAGTTTATAGGACGTTTTCTTCCCAGGAATAACGCTAAGGGAAAACAAAACTATTCC